CTGGCTGTTCTGGGGAAGCTTACCAGGGGCTACTGTGTTCATCAAAACAGAGCAGTTTTCTGTGGAAACTCACCAAGAATTACTGTGTTCGGCAAAAATGTTTCTTGTCCATGGAAAGCAGATGTGCTCTAACGAGTTTAATCTTAGTAATGAATAAGATAGTCTTATATGGATGGTAGAAATGGTACTTTTAGATAAGATAGAATGAGTAAACAAAAACCATTCTTGTTATTCAAGAAATTGGCTACGAGAATCTATGCGTGCCATGGGGAAAAGTACCAGGTGAGGAGGACTGTGAGCCTTCCTCCAACAGACCCCCCGAGATGCCCACCAGGAGGCAACGCACGGGTGTGGAGAGAACATAAACTGCTGACACCAGCCTCTAGAGCTAACCCAGCCTCACTTATCATGTGTTTGTGTTCTGTAATCCAGCGAGCGTGTATCCACACTCCATCAGTTTCGGGTGAAATGTGCTGGGGATGTGCAAGCTTTGGGGAGAAATCCCCTTGCACCCCGGCGCCGGAGTAAACATCCCTGCTGTGTAACTCCCCGAGTTGTACAGTCTGATTTCTGCAAATCACCCCTGAGCCCAGAGGTGTCCGGCCCCGCTGCCCGGGTGACCCGGGAGAGTTACAGGTCCAGGAGGGGTGAACCCCCCGCAGGGAGAGAGGGGAGACAAGCCAACAGGCACCCGAGCCACCAGAAACGCCCCCTGCCCAGCCCAGCCTAGCGAAAGCCAGGGACATACCTGAAAAGCTTTTCCAAATGTGTGTGACAGAATATTTCAGGCAGGGAGGGGTGAAGAAATCCTTCCTATGCTAAATCAGGAAGCGAGGCGAGACGCTCAGGTTGGAGGCGCGAATGGTCACACGAAGCAGCAGGTTTTGGTACAGTGGTTTCCATCCAGACCAGGCCTAGGGGGGGTGGGATCGCTCTGTCATTGGGATTAACCTTTTTCAAGGCGTTACTGTGGGAAGCCGGGCCCGTGGGGTCGAGCCGTCCTTGCCCTCTGCCCGTGCTGCGAGGGCGGAGCGCAGGGGAGCTCAGTGCTCCGCCGAGACGCCGTCGGTCCCGTGCCCGGGCGGCCGCTGCCGTGCTGCCGCCATCTTCGGCTCCTCTGGCGTCGAAAGCCCTGACGCCGCACCGGTGGGGCCTGGCCCTGCCCAGGAGTTTGTTTTCATGGACATAAACAGGACACTCACCAGCTAGTATCTTTACTGAATGAATTTATTGGTTTTTGAACTAAAGTTGCTCACAGTTATTTAACAAGGGATACATCAGATTTTTTTGTCCATTTTAAACCATTAAATAATGTCAGTTTGTGTCTGTATATGTGTGTGTGCGCGCGTGTGTGTCTTCAAAGTACAAAATAGGAAGGATAACAAGAGGTATTGCTTTCATTTATTCTTATATCTTGTGTAAGTAATCCCCTTCCTGCTTGTACCACATGGGTTTTGCTGATATAGGTATTTTTAAATTATTATTATTATTTTGTATTGAAATCCCAGCCTTTTGTAGAGGTACAATGTAACAGAAGCATCAAAATCTATACACAAGGGAAGAGAAAAGAGGGAAAAGAAGGATGGGGGTGATGGGAGGGGAGCTCGGAGGAGAAGTAGAGAGAGGGCGGAGGCAGGAAAGACAACGAAAGCAAAAGAGACTAATTTACAGCAATGTCATGCAATTAAAACTGCCCCCCTCTCCTGCACCCTTGCCTCCCCCCCTCCCCAGCCATCACCCCCTGGTGTCTGACATGCACACAGCAATACGAGAGAGAAAAGTTTAAGAATAGGGAAAATAAATAAATAAATAAATAAAACAATAAAATAAAATAAATCCCTCCCATTTGGGGGAATGGGGAAATGGGGCAGAAGTCAAAGGTCTTTGCCCCAGTTGTGTCTTTAAAAATTCTTTTTAATCTTCAAACCTATGTACAAGTAAAACTGGTCCAAGAAGGGGAAAAATGATTAAAAAAACCAACAACAACAACAACAACAAAAAAGAACTCATCCAACATTATCATTAAAAAAAAATAATTTTGCGATACAACATACACCCATAGGAACCCAACGAGCAGCAATCGAAGGTCATAAAAGAGCTGAACACTAATGCTAAGCCTACATTCTTAAAATCTCAGTCAAGAAGTACTTCTCACTGTGTTTTGTCTTCCACGCGTAAAACCATGTTGGTTTTTTTTTGTTTGTTTGTTTAACCTTTGAGCTTGGGCCAGAATAAGTTACACTTGGTCACATAACTCTTGAGGAGGAGGAAAAAAGGCGGCGATTCTTCTTTCTCAAAGTCACAAGATGAACACTTACAGGGTTTCTGTGTCCTTTTTCCCCCTCCTCCCCAAAATAAATAAGAATCAATGTTGCCTCTACACAGTTATTAAACAGAAGATATATCTAACAGCTTATTTTTTTAAATATATATATATGTATATATAAATAACCAAGACCTAAAACTGAAACACAAAAAAAAAAAGTCCCCATCCACCCAATCCCACCCTCCTCCCCTTCAAAACAAAACAAAACAAAAACTTTATAAAAATATCTTGCAGTAATTTTTAAAGTTTACAGTAGCTTTGTGATTAAGTCTCCCATTGCCCTGACTCCACCTTGTCTTGCTCTGATGAACTAAGTGCCAGTGATTTGCACACACACACACACAGTAAATAAAACCCAAGATAAGTCTCTTTTCTTCCTCCTCTTCGTCTTCTTTTTTTTTTCTTTCTTTTTTTTTTTTTTTAGAAAAAAATCACCCAAGCCAACAAATGAAACTGGTAACTTAAAGAAATAATAATACTGATATCAATGCAGCACTAGCAACACAACAATTGCCTCTAAATGCAGGGTGTGGTGGAGGGTCCAGCTGGTCGAAGAAGGTCCCAGCACGGTGGCACGGTGGCAGGGAGTTGACAGGTGGGGAGGAAGGTGTCGAAGGAGGAGCAGCAGTAGCAGCAGCGGCAACTGTGCCTGGTGGCGGAAGAGACAGTCCTTGGCAGAGTCTTGTCCCTCTTCTTTGCTACCAGAAGTTGCCTTTTCCCTAAGTTTTAATGTTTTGTTTGTATGTGTTTATTCATTGAACCCCCTCTCCCTCCTAAGTTTACTCCTTTCCCCTTCCAGCAGGTCAAAAAGCAAAATGATACAGTATAAAAAAACTCAATTGTTTTGTATATATATGTATGTATGTATGTATATTTGCACATAAATATACACACATATATACATGTATATATAAAAAAGGGCGCAAAACAAAAGGAAAAGGTGGCGGGGAGAAAAAGAAGGTTAAGAAAATCCTGTGGATGAAGCTCCCCAATATTGTCTTGGTTCAACGCTTAGTTTTGAGTTGCTCCTGGCTGGTTTCTGATGAGAACGCGCTCTGGATTCATGAACCACTGCACTCCCACTACACCCGTCTCCTTCCCCGCACCCTCCCCCTCCGGGCTGAGTTCACCTGCGCGGACAGAAGTTGCCAAGGGTAAAGGTTTCAGGTTTCACTCCAACAATGTGCAACCTCCTTTCAGCCCAGACTCTGCAATCCCATAACTGAGCAGATCTCTCTTGTGGAGCACCAAAAAAGAAAAAGAGGAAAAAAAAAAAAAAAAAAAAAAAGGCGTGCATTGGGGAGGTGTCTGGGGAGAAGTGGGGGAGAAACCCACTTCCTGAAGGGAGAGGGGAGGCTGGGAACCTCAAACAGGACTGGTCCTTGGACAGTCTACATCGGTTGCCTTCCGTCAACAAGTGTCCGCAGAGCACAGAAGGTGAAGCCGTGGCTGACATGTTAACTTTTCGGGATAATTCCTGGTAGCAGAGCGGAAACAAGTGGTGTCGTCAGAAACACAGAGAGAGCATGAACAGAACAAGAAACAAAACAAAAGAAAACAAAAATAATAATAATAATAATAATAATAATAATAAAAAACCCAAAAAATCAGGAAGGAGAAAAAAAGCAAAACATTCAAAAAAAGGGAGGAAAAAAAAAAAACACCAATCGAAAAAACCACAACCCAAGATCTGGTGAACTGGGTTTGTCATCTGTGCTACCTTTTCTTTTCTTTCTTTTCTTTTCATTCTTTCATTCGTTTGTTTTTGTGTTTGTTTCTGAGATATATATTATATATCATATATAAATATATATATGTATATATATACAGTCATTCCTTCATACAAAATTTGTCTATAGACAGTTTTGTACTGTTGTGGCAAGGTATATACATCCTTCTAGTTTAGAGGCTAGCTTGCTAAGGAATATTCTTTCATTCTTTCTTGCTTTTTTGTTTTTTTTTTTTCTAAGTTATTTAATTTTTTATGTGTTTATTTAAGGTTGGTCTTGTAGGCCGACTGATGAGACCATCTTTGCCTTGTCTTTGCCAGCAGGGTACTTATTGTCTCCTCTAGACCCATAGTCATTAGAACCGGAATCGCTCCGCTTGCTGTTTGCGCTATGCTTGGTTGGCGTGCCGGGGGGATGGCTCACCTGCCCGTTCTTCTCGTCTGAAAAAAGTTGTTTAATTACGTCAAAGAAGTTACTCAATGGGCTGCCTGGGTACACAAAACAGAGGAGACAAAAAAAGAAAGAAAGAAAGGAAGAAAGAAAAAAAAAAACAAGAGGGAAAGAGAGAGAAAAAGAGGAGAGAAAGAGAGAGAACAAACAAACAAATGAACAATGGGGTTTTTAACGAGAAGAACATGATGAGGAGATCCAGAGCCACGTGCGTGGGGGTGTGTGGGGGATGAAGACAATGAGCAGGAAGAGGAAGAGTGTTTAGGATGGGAGACCTACAGAAATAAAGAGGCTGGGAGCATAAAGTACCTCTGGGGAAGGTCCTAGATTTCTCCTGAGTGGGGGAGCACTGCTGTGTCTCACCTAGCAGGAGGGCACAGTACCGTGCAGTGAAAATACTTCAGTCTATGAGTGGGAGTCACTTGGCCACTCCGCACGGAACCGTCAGTGAACGTCATGCTGGATACAGGCAAATCCCATCTTGCAGCTGCTGTTACAAACACGGGGTATTTGCGTGTGGTCACCAACTGACGCTTTGCTTTCCAGCCTCGCTAAGCTCTCTGCCTATGCCGGGCATTAGGCTTTCTTGTCTTGCATTTTATTTCTTTCTGGTTATGTCCTTGCTTGCCTTTCAGTCGCTAAGCCTCAAGCACCTGAGTGCTCCAAGGGAAACAGCATTTGAAAAATGAGCTATGGCTGACACGAGTGTTGCCGCCTGCACGGCTGGTTTGTGGCTTGTACTTATAAGCTTCTGAGCACCTTCAGATCCTTCTTACAACAGGTACCTGGAAATGAAGATGCTGAATGCATTGTGGAAGCAGGCTGTTGTGCAGCTATTTCTGGAACCTACCAGGGTCAAGAACTACCTCCTCACTAAATTTATGTTCTCTCTACAATACAGCCTCCACAACAAAGATATTCACTCCAGTGGAGTTAGGAGCCAGAGAGGGGTGTAGGGTTGCGTGCTAGCAGAACAGGTATCTCCTTAGCCAGCCACTAGCACAGGTTGCAGTATTACCATGCATGTGAACACAACCTTTTGTGCCATTTGCACCTCCAGGCAGCGGGGCTGCATGCTGCCCATCTAGTCCTGTGCCACGGGATGTGTGGAAGGCCGTACCCCAGGAAAAGCTCTGCGGTGCTACTGAGGGAAAGAGGCTGGCTGCTACTGGAAAGGTAGCCTTTTTGGGGCATTTCTAGTCCCTTTTAATTTTCTTGGACTGGGAGGTTAATCCTGATCAGACATAGAAGGCGTCACACTAAAATCTCTGAACATGGATAGTGAAGGTGGTTTTTATCTAACATACACAATGGAGGTGATGCCTTTTGTGATCATGAACACCTCATGATGCTTTTTACAATACTGGGACTGTTGGCTCCACTGTTCTAACAAATTCAAATCATTTGTATCCCACCTAAGTAATTTCATTCTCCAGCTCCCAGAAGGAAGGGGGCTCCTTTTATCTGCCTTCCAATGCAGTGGTATGCTCTGAAGAGTGGAACCTTTTGTCCCCAAGATGGGAACATTCAGTCGGGAGCAAAGGGGTTTCTTCATAGTAGAGACTGCCATTTATCCACAGTGGGCGGACACTGGCGGCTTGGTCATATTTTATTTCCCTTCAGTGTCATTACAAACATAAGCAAACCAGTTACTACAGCAGGCAGTTACTTTCTGTGCACGGTAGCTTGTCTGAAGAGCTTGTTGAGTGCTTTCTTATTCTCTAATGGAAAATGCTAGACAGACATCAACTGCTCTTCTACAAAGGAAGAGGAAATACATAGTATTTGTGCCCTGTAAAACTGAATGTGTTAGTCTTTTTTTTCCTGCCCCGTGCTAACCAGGCAGTTGCTGCTCTCCTCTGCATGTTAACAGGCATTATGAAAAATCAAATGGCTGGCATATACAGTAAAGGATCTCAAGTCTTATTAATCTAATTCATTCCTTGTCTTCCTCTACTTGCTGCTTTGTGGTTGACTTACTGCTGGCCTGGGTTCTGCCTGTGCATTCAGTTACACCAATGCCACAAACAAATGGCTGTTAGTTTCTGGGAGGGCATCATTCACCTGACTGACTGAAGCCTTAGTGCTGGGCCCAGACAAAAAGCACATATTTCAATTTCTGGCTAAGAAGAGAAGGGCTATCAAACTCTCGGTCATTTTGGGGTCAGGCTTCCATGAGCTCCACCTGCTTCCTTCCACATGCATGCAAATACTTTGGAAAGGGGTATCTGTTTCACATCTATGACTTGTATTTCAGAGATTTCCCTAAACCTCCCTAAACCTGTTTTAGGTTTGTGGGTGCATCCTCTGCTCAGACTCATTTCTACTTCTTTTAGGTGGATATGCTTTTTCAATGGAAAGAAAGAAAAAAAGAAAGCAAACACTCAGCCTTGAATGCAGGACTGTGGGCAGATCTGGTTCTTATGTGGCTTTGGACCCCTCATCTTCATAAGCAAATGGAGTCAGCAGAGAGAATGAAAAAGAGCACTGAAAAAAATGCTGGAGAGGGAAAGACTGCTAGGTTGGGAGAAAAGGGAAGGGGAATAACTCTAGTTATTCAGCTGAGCAGTTTATTCAACAAGCTTAGAGGGAAAGAAGAGGGCAGAGTAAGCAGGGCTCTGCAGGAATCGGGGAAGTTGTTTGTTTTCACGTAGACAGGAACAGTAGACAAAAGTACAACTTTCAAGAATGGAGCAATAAAACATTTTTAAAATTATATATCTTGTATTTTCTGTGTCCTGACACAGGATTTTTAATCATGCTATTAAAATATGCAGCCCCTGTTTCATCCACCCTTTCTCCTCACCATGCCCTACTGGCTTTCAAGTGCCTGGAGATTTATTGCAGCAAAAGTATTTAACAGTCTGCTTTTCTTTGGCTGTATCACTACTGGATTCCTTGCAATCAGCATTTTCAGGTAAAATTTTAATGGGAGGTAAGAAATCCTTAGGGATGTTTAAAGAGAGCTACTGAAAAAATAAAATAGGCCATTTCACTAACCCTTTCCTTCCTTTGCCTTTTGTAGTATGTGGACTTGTCGTTAAACACTAGGTAATAACGTTCTCCTGTCCTGCAGTGAAGAAAGAACTGATCCTACACCACGCACTGATGTTGTCTACATGACAGGTTGTTAGCCCACTCTTGGGCTGGTCCAGATATTGGTCCTCACATTCTTCTCTGGAGATAAACCTATGATGGAAGCATGAAAATGGTGCGTGGTGTTGCTCCTCTTAGTTCTCAGTTCCCTTTGGGCTTATACATCCAGTAAAACAAGACTTGAAAATGCAGGTGATGATGGATTAGAATAGCTTTTTCAGCAGTCTTCCACTCCTAGCATTCAGTGTAAAATGTGTCATAGGCTCTTACACCTGTAAGTCCATCTGGGGGCCTCAAAAGGCTGCCTGTCTTATTTCAGAAAGTGAGATGACATCCCATTTCCTCTGCAGAGGGATGAAGGTTTGGCTCACTGATTCTTCAAAACTTCCCTGGTGTTTCATGCATCTGTAACTAAGGTCTTCTTTCCCCTTGAGAGAAAATGTTCATCAACACAGAGCAAAGAAGGCGTGAAGGGTAGCAAGGGTGAGAAACTATGAGAAGGATCAGAGGCAGGAGGGGAGGTTCAGAGCATTAGGTTTGCATCTATCAGGAGATGGGTATGTGCATTTTTGAGTTAGACCAAGGAGCTGTATGCTGCAAGATGGGGAAGGGGAATGAGTTTGAAAACAAGCACTGAAGCTCATGAAAGGGTCATGTCTTGAAGGGATGCTAGAGAAGTATATTTATGGAGAAGGCACTGCTTTGTGGCACCTGTGTGCAGCACTGCCACAGTCAAATATCACAAAAAGAAGTCAGAACTGTGAATGCATTTGAATACAACAGGCACCAAAAGGAAGAAACAGGGCTGGAGACAGACACAAAAATGTAAAAGGAAGCTGGGCAGGTGGCTTTATCAATCCTCACAGTCCTCAGTATGTCACCTGCTGTTCTTGGTAAGTCTGTCTGACATCGACCTAGCCCCAGCGGCATCACAGGTTTGAGAATCAAAGTGGAAGTGGAGCACCCAGGCAAAAGCAGAAAGAGGAAATGAGGTGATTCACTCCAGACACCAGAAGGGACACCACGAAAGGATGTACCTTGCAAAGACCCTGTTCTGACCTTGCAAAACCTCTGCCCTGACCTTGCAAAGATCCTCAGAGTCCTCCATGAAAAACAACAGGAATTGGTGAACAAGCAGCTTCAGGACAAGCCTGGAGGCTTCAGTCACTGATTAGAGCCGGATGTTTTGTAACATTTTAAGACAGTCAGATAAGGACTCAGTCCTCTTTTCATTGAAGCAAATAGCAACATTCCTATTGCCTTAATGGAAGCAAACCCCGAGTGAGGCACTTCCTTCTCCTGTGTAGCCATCCCTCCCAAGTCTATGTATTTTTCCTTGTGGTGCTGAACACAAAGTTGCCCAAGACCAATATGCCATCTGTGGGATTATCCTCTGCCCTTCCTTTCTGCAAAGCCTGAGAAATTTTGGGTTTCCACATTTTTTAGCTTAGACTTTGGGAGAAAATGAATGGGAAATGATAGGTCTCCACTGGAAACCTCTGTCAACCTGACTCCCCATGTTCCTTCCCTTGTTATTTTCACATCATTTCTGTCTGTCTTCTGCCTGCCTCTACTACTGAGGTTTTCTTCTTATATCCACTCCTTTCTCTTTACCCTTTGTCTTTTTCATCCCTAGCCTGCTCTGTATTTCGATGGCAGCTGTAGATTCATGTGAATAATGTAACAAAAATCCAACTCCTTTCATACAAAGCATTGAAACACTCTTGATGGGTGATAATCCAGTCCCTTTCAAACCCATTTTACTACTTTGACAGAGTCATAGCCCTCTTTGTTAAGACTAGGATTTTTTTGCCTGTTTTCTTGGTTTCTTTTGGCAGAGTCTCTTCTGCCTTTGAAAATAAAAGACTTAAAATACAGAACCCACTCCAAGAGTATATGCAGTGACAGGGATGACAGAAAGATAACAGGCCTATTCCTCTTTATTTAGTTGTAATATCATGTAGGGGTCTTTCTCCAGACTAAAGAGCCCCTAGTCTAGTACAAATACAAATCAGAGAGATGCCTCAATGAGCGCACCGACTACTGAAGAAAGCTACAGAAAGAATTTTTTGCTCCTATAATGGATGTATGAGGCTTCCCTCTCGATTGGAAAAGGGTGACAGAAAGGCCGTTGCAATGTGTCTTGCTGGAGGCCATCATACAGAACTTCCTTCTAGTCTCTGAACCCATCCTAGCCCACTTGAAGTGAGCTGAAGAAACTGCAGAAATCCCAGGATGGGTACTTGTCTAAAAATATAGTCAGGAAACCATTTCAAGAGACATGGATGTGGTTTTTACTGGATTTATAAACTGTCACAACAGATTGACCAGAACAAGTTTTCCCATTTATTTTCTTCCCCAGTTAGTTACATGGTGGGACAGTTGTTATGATTTCATTTCAGTTTAGAACTAGAAAATGGAGACAGACAGTCCACAAAACAACTCCAGTTTCTTAGCAGGACAGCTGAATTGCAACTGGGAAAGGTGAATTCCAAAGTTAACAACAGACATTATTTTCCAGAGTTCTCAGATTCTGTCAGTAAAAATGCCAGCTATAAACAGTGTTTGTACAAACAGACTGCTGGTAGGAACTGCTCAGATTATCCCACATAGTTAGCACAGGTGTCTGTGCTACCAGCAGAAGGCGGGGACCATCAATCGCTACACACCTGCACAGATCTAACCAACCAACCTGACATTTAAATAAACCCATCCTTGTTCTTACTCCCCTAAAACATCCCGTCTCCTCTGCAGGAGGCTGGCCCAGTATTTGTGAATAGCCAGATGCATCCAGATGGCCATGCTGCCTCTGTCTTGCACATTTTATTTCTCATACATGCATAGAGAAGCTGAGATCCCGTTCAGCTTGTCCTGTCACAGGTAGCTCTTGGGTAATGAGTTAGCGAATGGTGAACACAGGCAGCAAAGACTCAAATAGATGAGGCATATTTCCTTGCTGCTACCTTCTGAGTAATTAATCAGAAAACAAACATGTCCATCACTGACGAATAGCTCTGGCCAGTCCAGCACCACCACATAACATTCAAAAAAGAGGAGTCATGATGATGGAGAGGAGGGAATTATACATTTGTTTGGACAGCTGGTGGCACTGAAAGAGCAGCAAGGATACTGGTGGACTGAAGAGATTCTGTTGTGAATTCACACTGTTCTGGCAAACTGGCTGATAAAGGGCTCAGCCCAAGAATTCCTTGTATCTGCCCATCCTTTTACAAGGGTCTGCCTGCACAAGGTGTGTGCTGAGAGGGGAAGCTGAGACTTACACTTGTAAAGCCACACAGATGATAGTATTGCTGCTACCTGTTCTCTTAGAGACTTGTGCTGCTTTATTCCATTTTTTTGTCTGTAAAAATGTCAGAAATGTATTGGCATATATGATTTTGTCTCTTCCTGACAGATGAATGTTCATGTATGATCTTAGAGGTTTTAAGTTCTCTGACCTGTTCCTAAGGAGAGAAATGACCTCTGTATACTGGTGAAATGTTGCCTCCTCATTTCCTCTGACACCGTCCCTTCAAAATATGATTTAATCTTCTGGAGAGGCCATCTCAAATATAGCTTAATAGCTACATTTGCAAGCAAATATTCACAGATATTCACATCCTGAAGCACTGCCTGCCGTAAATAAAGTACTGTGAGCTTAATTAAGAGAGAGGTATCCATGTTTTCTATTAGATATTATTACAGAGAAAGAGGACAAGATCTTGTATTGGACAGTGAAAATCTAGCCATAGCGGTCAAAACAAGATCTGACATGTACCAAGTAGTTTGATATATCTGGATTCATCTTCAGTGCCAAGTTGCCATTTTTGTTGCTCCCTTCTCCTACAGTGCCAAAACATGAGTCATGAACTGGAGAAGAAATATCTGCCCAACATAACACTAGAATGAAGAGATATGACTACAGTGTGGGAGGAGTCAGCCATCCATCTGGACAGCAAAGGATGCTAGTAGAATGGGCAAGGATAACTGGGAATCCTGGCTTGAACTCTTTGGAAAATCTGACTTCTCTTACTTATCGTGATCCACCCATTATGAATGAATATGTGATCATGTGGTCTTCTTCTTTTTATCTCTCATTTGGGTCACAATTTAAACAGAAGAATCGGCCATGCTCAGAAAGACCAGTAGCCAGCACATTTTTCAGAAATGCTAATTAAAAAAATACTGTTCTGACTACCTCACAGTGTAACAGTGGTGTAAAGAACCTTTCAGCTGGGAGGGTAGCATATGTGTTTTTCTGCAGGTTTCAGCCTCAGTGTTTATTCCACCAGTTATGACTTTATGAATGCAAATCACCAACCTCTTCTTCCATCAAACATCCTCTGTGAGAGGCAGGATTAGTCTAATTAATGTCAGTATGGATCAGGATCCCTTCCAATAGCACCAAATCCAGACATTGGCTGGTGCTAGTAACACCAACAGTCTCTAGATTAGCACTCACAGAGCTACATGCTGCAGTTGCCACCCAAATGTGATATAACCAGCTTTAAAATACAAAATGTCTCCCAATTTCTCAAGCAGCTTGGGATGCTATTGACACGGGCTGGTGTCTGTACGAATCAAACTGGTTACAAGGAGCTACGATGAGAAGCCTTTACTGCAGTGTAGTGGCTCTGTGTGAACAGAGGATGACTGGCCATGGGGGACAAGGTCAGATGGCTCTGAATAAGAAGCTATGTCAAGTCCTGAACACTGGAAGCAAGAGATTTGAGTGAGATATACTGGAAAGATATGAAAGGCAAGTGGATTTGCTGTGCTTCTGCTTTGATCAGATCCTTTTGGTGATAGCCACTAGTACAGCAAGCCAAGGATCCACTAAGCTTTTGTTTAATTCTGTTGCCAGGAATCAATGTTTTGAATTGTAAGCGGCAACACGGGACATTTAAGAATAAACACGGGGTCTTCTGGCCAGCCTGTTGTCACAGGGTTATGGTCTGCAGGAACGTATGTTTGTGCACTGCCTAACGCGACAGCATGATTTGACTGGAGATGCACTAGTTATATATACTAACCGTTTCCTCCTCTTATCATCACCCAGTTCCATGAAAGTGCCACTGATGTAACTGAAGACTTTCCTGAGAGTCATGAGGAATGGAAAACAACAAGCAAAGATTGCCTTACTTGGAAATAAAAATTCAGCCCCAGACAGCTACAGTGTGGAGACTGGAAAGTTTACAGGTTCCCCGGTGTTTCTCTGAAGGTAAAGTCAGGAATAAGGGAGGCTTTTCAGAGCTTTTTGCCAGCAGCCAGCACCCTGGTGAAACATACTTACTAAGGACTACAAAAGAATGGGGATGCCTGGGAAGAGGAGCTATCAAAGGCTATACACCACATTTACTACTGAGTCAACCACTCAAAGAAATCCTCAACTCACTATTTAAAGGACTTAAAGTCATTGAAGTTTGTAAAGACAGACTCATTTCTGAACAAGGACTATTGTGGGTTCTGTGTGGTGTATATCAATGGCTCCAGATCCAAACTGCTCAATATACAATGATACTTCTTTCTAATTCCCAGCTTTGTGGTTGAAGCTGGAAGGCTTTCCAGTCTGTCTATTATCTTGATTTTTTTTTTTTTTAAATGTAAAGACTCTGCAGAACCTATTAGAACCTCATTGTCAATTATACAACCTATTCTTCAGTGAGCTAGACATAAATACCAGATTAGATGGTAGTAAACAGTTCTCTCAAACCTGCCTCAAAAGAAAGAGAATCCAGCTTGTTCTTTTATGGCTGTGTTGATTTTATAAGGCTTAATGGAAGCACATAAAGTGGTAAAGCTTATTTGTCACTAAACTGATTTGGCTCTGAATACACACAAGGAATAGATCAGCTAAGTCGGAAGGCATTACTCCTATAGGCAGTTTTCAGGTTACAGCTGAATTTTAAATGTAGAGATCTTCATTTTTACAAGGTAAATTTAATCTTATGAACAGATTTGAAAGACTTCATGAAAACCAGTTACATCTTTCTGACAATAGAAATGCCCATTCCCCTGCTGAAATGGGTGGAACCATAAAGTATTCCACTCCAACGTGCGTTTCAACTTTATTATGAGACAAATTATTTTCTTCTGTTTTGAAATATTAAAAGTTGGCAGCAGTTTTCTAGTATGCACAGGTAGGGTTGATACAGCAGCTGTTACGTCATTTGAATACTGGCAGCTCCTATGACATACCTCTGCTGTTCAACATTAAACTTGTTTTTCAGTGCCAAAGGCTATATGCAAAATCACTTCTCAGATTGATGACCACTGCTAGCATAAGATGAGATAACAGTTAAAGGACTAAATAAATTTGACTTGCTGTTATTTACAACATCCAGTGGTTTACAGCAGGGGAAAAGATATTCCTAATTTCTACCAGAGCTTTCACATGGCTGAGCTGGGCATAATGCATAGGATTAGCTCTTCCTGCTCCAGTGTTAACTCCTGCAAAAATGACCCCCTGTGTTCACTCTCAGAATACAAAACAATGATGAGGTCAAAATCCCCACACAGTATAGTTTTTCTTACACTATTTGTTATTACTAGATGAACATTGTCTCAACTTCACAGGGGGTTCCCCGTCCTCAAAGTCATGGAGGAGAGTTTGCCAATAATAGGCTAAATGCTGGCATCATTCCCTTTCACTTCCCTGTCTAAATTGTGGGTGAGCTCTCCTGCACACAAAATAGCTTTTCTCTCATATAGGAGGGTGGAGTTCAGCGTGGTGCAGTCACCACTGTTTCTGTTGTGTGTGAGCACACCAACAGGAATGTGATTTAAAGGAAACAGCTCCATTAAATCCCTATAACCCATCCTTTCTTTTCTCTGGATATATATATGTGTTCTGCCCGTGCTGTAGCTGTCAGAAAATAGTCTCCCTGCTGGCCTTCACCTTGTCCTCTTTGTCCCTTGTTGGACTGATGTTGACACTGTGACAGCTGGAGAGCCTGCCTGCACTGGGAGGGAGCAGTAATGCTCTCCGTCTAGAGAACGCAGAGTACTGCCTGGTTATCTGTATATCTCAGTTAATTTGCAAGCAATCAGTAGAATCAGCATTTCAATATTTTTGTATGATATGAATGCCAGATCCAGGCAAGAAACAGAGGCTTGAGGGAGAAGAGGGATTTGCTGTCTGATGCCTTCAAGAAGAAGCTGGAGGTCTGCCTACAACTTAAATGAATCTTCATGAGGACAGCAGAAATGGTATAACCCAAGAAACTCAAATAAGAAATCAAATTAACTCCTTTTGGAGCAAAGGAAAAACTCCCACCAGCAGAGCTGCAACTTAAGGGAAAGAGATCATCTGAAATACAGGAAACAGGCCAAATTCTGCCTCAGTCACACACGCATAAACCTAATATTGTCTCCACCACGACAACTTTCCTTCGCTGCTACAGACTCTAAACCAACTCCAGAACAACTTTCCTCAGTTTACGAAGAGATGACGCAGGAGTCACAGGTCCAGCTGGAGAGCGGTACTAGCTCAGTGATCACTTCCTCAACAGCTTGTGTTCCCTTTGACAGAGATCTCTGAATTCAACCTAGATACCAGAATGGAAATCTAAAGAGAACAAAGTTCTCTTGTACAGAACCTTTCTATACAAGATGTAAGTAATAAGACAAAAACCTCTCTTATGGTATTTGGGTATTTCCACCATTGTATTCAGAGCAGTCAGCAGGGGCACAGGTAACGAAAGAAAGAATACAGTCCATGTGTGGATAGGGGGAGGGAAGGCAAGGAACAAGTTAACCAAAATTCATGGAACTCAAAGCAAGTTGAGCTGCAAGTTTTGCAGGAAACTTTTTTTTTTCTCGTTCCTAACACAATTCAGAATCTCCAGTTGGTTCACTACTCCTCCAGCTAGAAACACCAGGTCCTTCCCCAAGACCAGAATGGAACTATGACAGTTTACACTGGCTAAGTGTCTGACAGATAATATGCAGCGTGTCTTATGGAAGATTTAAAAGGGTCTTACCCCAAGGATATATGGGGAAGAAGGGAGTGGATGCAAAATGGAATTAAATAACATAGCACTCCTGTCTCAATAAATAGCAGGAAACCAATGGAGACAGCAGCTAGCAGGGCAGCATTCCGCTTCACTGCAGAAAAGGGACCGAAGGATCATGAATCAAAGGCAGCAAGTAAACAAAAGAAGAAAAAAAAAACAGGAAAGAAAAACAAAATCACTGGCCTGGGTTACAGTGAGCGAGGGAATCTCAAGTGCAACACCACACACTTGTGCTATGAAGGGCAAAGCGGTGGTGGAGCCTGTGCACCTGTGCATGGATGGGGAGGAACAGAGTAAGGGGTAAATGCTTGTGTCCACCAGGTAAGTGAAAGACATAGTGGGCTGTTACAGGGTGAGCAGTCTTGAAAAGAGCGTGGGAGAGCAGGGGTAGGGAAGGGGAACAGGTGAAGGGACAGGACGGCGCATTATTATGTTGCTCAGCAGGGGCTGGGGAAGGAGAAAAGGCAGAAGGGAAGGAAGTTCTTACCACATTTGGAAAGTCTGCCAGTCATCAACTCCATACAGTTAGTGGTGTCTGGATCATAGAACGGAAAGAGGAGGGAGGGAGGGAAAAACATAAAAAAAGGTTTCCATACCTCTGTGCATAAAGTAGTAACTTAGCACATTATTACCTGAAGCAGGAAACATATACACATCTTGGTCTTTACACAACCCAGGCCAAATTCTGCCACCCAGTGTACGCCAGTGCAAACCGGGCCCTGGGACTGAGAGTGGGCGCTGCTTCGGCCTTGCTGCTTCCACCCACCTCTTCATCACAGCTACACAGGCATTTATGAGATGTGGGAAATACTCTGACACCACCTTAGCAAACTAAAAGCCCTGAATACATTGCTTCACCTGGCCAGATTTGCAAGTTAGCCTGCAACAGCCTGCAAATGCCCAGCCATCTATGTACATCAAAAACCTGCAGAGGGGGAGGAAATGCAGCACTGTGCTACTGGACGTGGAATGAGAAGGCTCAAAACACAGCTCAAAAACATCTTTTAGACCCCAAAGGATAACATCCAAGTTCTCAACATAACCCTGCCTCTCATTCACATTTACTCTCTTGCCCCTCTTGCTTTCAACACCACTATTCGCAGACAATAGAATTACTTCTGGAAAGGGTGGCAGAATCTGGCCCTAAGACATTACAGTCCACATGTGTATAGCTCCCACTGCCACAGCCTCTGAGTACTTCTTACTCAGGTGCAATAAGGAGAAGGAGCTTTACATGTCTGCTTTAAAGCTGAAAGGACCAGTCCAGCTGGACACTTCCATGTGGAACCTGCTGGCAAGGCAGATCTGCTGCTGTCAGCCAGGATTCCCTTGCATTTGGGATTGAAATCATTGCATCCATGAGTGCTGGGCACTGTGGAGCTCTTGATGTTGAGCAAGTGGCTAACAGTTAAAGCACTCAGTTCAGTCTCAGATCTCCTCTTGCCTGCCTGGCTGCTCAGTGAACACTTGGGTATTCAAGAAATAGGCTTCTTGGAAACGTGCACACATATGCTGAAAATCCCTAACTGCTAGGAAGCTCTAACTGCTCCCTATCTGCTGAAAAGTCTGCAGGAGGGAGGGAGGATGATTTCTCAGCATTCCTCCTCTTAAATACTGAGAAAAGTAATTTCAAAAAAGGAGGAAGGGGTGCTGGATATGCCTGGGTAAGCTCAATCCATGCTAGAAGAGCATGGATATGTATTTTTTTCTGATGCAGGCAGGCCTGTGCTGCACAGATCATCTGGGAAAGCCTGGAGTAGAGAGGGCAGGTGCTTGGTCCAGTGACACTGGTCAAAGCATCTACGCAGCAGGTACGTGCTCTCCATCCTGAGGTCGGAGGCAGGCTGGCAGAGGTCAGTGGGAGATGATACCCATGGAAGGTTTCTCGGAAAGGCACAAGACTGAGAGAAAGGAGGAAAAGGAACGAGGTGAAGGAGAACAGAGGATTCAAGAACTGGAACAAGGGATCAGAGGTGCAGAGGCCACAAGTTTACCTGCCTTTGAAATTCTTTGGCTAGTCTGACTGAGTGAAGGCAGATTAAGCTCCCAAAATACATTTCTCCCTGAAGACGTCTAACAAGTTTAGGAAGTGTCTACAGCTGCTGACTGAGCCAATGACCAGAAGTCACAGTCATGAGTTCATATAATTTTTTTTTTTTCTTTAATAACTTGGAGAAGTTTGCTGTCTCATGCCTTTCAGTGGTTCCTGTCCAGCCCCCTCTGAGTCAACTACACCTTGTTGTAAAGCAGTGTAATACAGATCTGTAGTGGTAGAGCTCAGAGCATTCACCCAATAATTAGCAGAACTTTTGCTTTGAAAAAACACGTAAGAGCGAGGAAAGTCCTCAAATATGACTGAAAGATTGTTTCCGGTTCCCACCTCCAACACCTGGAATTTTCCCTTCAAGTGTATCCAGAGTGACTGGCCACACAGTAACTAGCAGTCTGGAAACTAAAAAAGGTAGTATTTGCATAAGGTCAGAGTAGGTAAACATTGTGGCTGGTTTACTAAGATTCTCCCGAAATTGGTATTTCTGTTTCCATGTTAATTTTAACAAATTAAAAATAATCACGTCTCCTTATTACTTCAGAATACTGCCTTTTTTCTAAGCCGCTTGCAGTCAGCATAGCTCTTTTTAGTATTTCATTTAAAGCTGGGTAACAGGTCTACTACGTACATTAATCACGTGATTAGAACACAAACTGTCAGATCTACAGCAGGAAAAAAGGATTGTAACAGAGGCTTTTCGACAGCATAACATCTTGGGCTCTGTACTCCATTTTGTTCCTAAAAACCCTAAATTTGCAGGTTATAGAATTTGTTTTGATGGATAGGAATAAACACAAACCCTTTTTTGAAATGTAAGGCCATGGAAGAATATCAAAGTAACACGAATAAAACCTCTGATTTGTCTTTCTTAAAACTAAAATGTGCATTCTCTATATTGCCATGGCCAGTCCCAGAAACTGCACAGGAATTTATTCTTATTATTAATGTCTTTCCAAGATATCATCAGGTTGCTTTCCCCCATTCCTAAGGCGCAGCAAACATGAGCGCACCAGGAACAGTAGCTCATACAGCATCGCTTGAAAGACTAATACAGTTAATATGCCTTCAGCTTCCCTGTTATAATAATTACTTTAACACTTCTTTCATTTCCATCATATTGTAACATCTGCTTCAGTAAATTCTCTGTATGATAAAATATTTCCTCATTTTAAAATAGAATTTTCATTCTAATTAGAAAGCCTTAGATTCTTGGCAGTCAGCGTCAGCTCGTGGATAATAATCCATAACCCAGTGACTGTGGGATCCAGGTGTGATGTGAGGTGAATAAAGCCAGGGTCCAAAGGCCATTAGCTGTCTGAGAAGTGTTGTTGTAACTGCATTTTTAATGTGTGCTGTTTAACTTTTTAATTAAAGCATAGTGGCAGTGTCAGATCTCAATCCTTGTGATGATAAGGCAATTCCTTATTTCATAGAGGTTGCTGGCAGTCATTCACGCTCTGGATTTGACCAGGACTCTTCCATAAATGACACTCAGTTCAGTTTATTAACAGATGGCAAATACTTTGCTTAAAACAAGACCTTCCTTCAAAAGGCTAACCAAGCTCTCAGTCCATTAAAGAAACACTAGTGTTCTGCTGAATCTTCTTCCCTGATTTTCTTTTTTCTTTGATTTCCGTGTTTCTATCCTACACAAATTTCACCGTCAAGCTGCCTGGTTTGTGATGCTTCTGATATCTCTGAGACTAAGACTCGTCCCAGCCCAGAAAATCTTACCCAAACAGCTGCTCCTCTGAGATCTCCAGACCTAGGGCTAGGTGCCAGAAAGCACTAAGCATCTCCTGCCAGATGCTCATAGCCCCCAGTAAACATTTCCATTAAGGGAAATGATGTCAAGAGACCCACCAGTTCCTCTGGTCCGAGGCAGTTATCATTTAGTTTCGAACTCCCTGGTGTTTGGGTGCTTATTTGAAATTCACTGCTCTCCTAGCAAAACTCTGGAGAGCTTGGACTTTTTTCTCCATGCTTAATTTCAGGACAACTCAGTTAATTTTAATGAAGTCTGTTTAGTGATAAAACTAAAGCTGTTTAGCAAAAAAACTGCTCTGCCAATCCAACCAGACATTGCATGGCACCTTTTGTAGGTGGGAACCATGATTGCCCCAGACACTACAGGAGCAGTAAGATGTAAAGGATCATACAAGAATGCAGGAAACAAGATAAACCTGGCACCTGGATGAGCTCTGGATACAACTGACTTGTGGTCCAATTCCAAGCTGGCATTTGCATAGCCCTCTTCTGTGTCTGCAGCTGGAAGTTTACCTTGCAAAGCACTTCATTTGCCCCTTACTCCCTTTTCTGTCTTGGTGATAAAATCCTTTGCACGTTTGGAAACTTTAAGTTTCTTACTAATTTTTTGTAGTCAATTAGCCAACCTACAGCTCTTGTTCACAAAGGCGAACACTCAGAATTCACAGATCAATACTCTTAACAAAGTTTTTTGAGTCACATGAACAAGTTTTGCTTTTTGAGATGTACACCAGCACAGGAAGAGAGTTTGGGTGCATATACAGGAGATACACACAATGAGCAAGAATCTGCACTGCCCTATTTTGAAGCTGGATCTGGTCTCTAAACACTTGTTTATGCTGATGAAAGGCATTTCCAGCAGTAACACTGAGATGCTCTGAACTTAGAGATGCCAATGGTTAAAATCTGACATAAAGACAATAAATATAATAAACAGAAAACCTATTACAAAGAAGTTATAAAAGCTATTTCAGTATTGCTGATTGCCCAGAACATGGGAAAATGGGAAAAAAGAAGAATATGCAGCACCCCACACATAAAACCAAAGCCCAAAGAGGCAAGAAAATATTAGGGAAATAAAAATTGATACCCTGTGAATGATCACAGATGGGTTTTGCATGTCCCTGTTCACCAGATGTTTCTATTACTCTTTTGTGCAAAGGCATTGGAGGAAAACAGACTATGATTTAATGGCAAGAGTACTGGGCTGAAAAAAAGGCACAAATCTGAGATATTTTCCTCGATGAAGAGAGATCCTTTTATCCCACCAAAGGGCAGTCCTGCCCAGGGATTGCCAAAGTAGAGATTGTGAGTATAAAGCTCCTGGACGGAGCCATACACGGATGAGAGACAAGGCCAGCCGCCCTCACAGACAGCGATCCTCACTCTTGATCCCGAGGGACTGTCTTGCTGGGCTTGATGGATTTTGTGAATCCAGTAACAAGAACACATGGGCAGCTACTCTGGTTCAGATCAAAGGCCCAAACCATCCAGTGCTGTCTCCATCAGCAGCCACATGTACGTGCATGAAGGTAACAGCAGGCCAAGCACAGAGAATGCTTCCTCCTAACACCACCTCACTCTCTCACCACTTTCAAGTCAGAGATTTCCTGAGCCTGCTGTGGTTTCTCTGTTTAGCAATCCTCGTGAGAGTTCTCTTCCAGGGAGTTGTCCAGCCTCCCTGTGAGTAAGAAGTACTCAGAGGAAGATGAGCATCTGCAAGCTGCTCACATTCAGAACATGCTTCAGTGTGGAGTTCCACAGGTCTTACATTACATGAAGACGTGCCTTCCAATATTGTTTTGGTTCATGGCTTTCATATGATTTTTTTCATTGGGAAGAAAAAAAAGAACAATCAGTCCCTATCTACTTGTACTGGGCCAGTCATGAGTCTGTAGACCTGGTACTGTCTCAACAGTTAATACCACAGAGGATTTAACATCCTGAAACATTAAGGTAGAAGGCTGGTATGTTGCACTAATTTTGGCCAACTGGACAGTGGATTTTAGAAGTATTACATTAGCTTCTGGGATAGATTTCAATTGTTTACACACTTGTTCAGGTAAGGGAGGGAAGCTAGTTTCCTGCTTCAGAGTATGCTGGAAGAAATAAGCACAGCCAGTCTTAGGAAGGAAAAATGGAAGTGAATGGAGGGATATCCAGGGGGAAGGGAGATTTTAAGGTGCTCAAGTGTGACACAGAAACACATCTGCCTAAATCAGGTACATATCAGGCTCACATACACACACACAGAGATGCATGGGCAACACAACATCTACAAACACTGTTGTGAGCTGGAGGAAATGAGAAAGAGGAAAGTGTGTTCTGAAACCCAGGCAAGCCGGCTTAGTGGGCTGGCATGCTGCATAACGGATCAAAGAGGGGCAGGAGAGAGAACGACTGTGCCATATGCTTATTAGGCCTTGCTGTTCTGCTTTATACCGTGTTCATTGAGTCTTCCCCTTCTGCAGGTCTCACTTCACATGCACGCACCTTTCACAGGTTTTCATCATCCTACCTCTAATGGCATCTGAACTAAAAGGCAGGGGAGACAACCACACAGAGCATATGTCTGTGCACAGTGAGCTAGGAGAATCTCCAGTGCTGGGCCAGTATTGCTGGTCAGAGCCAGCAGTATCCTCAGAGCCATGGAGGAGGAGAGTCAAAGCGAGCTGTGAGCTCGTTCTGTTACAGCAGTGGGCTGCCTACAGAGTATCCTCAAACCATGGACCTCAACAGGAGTCCAACCACCACCATTCCTGTGAGGTGTTCAGGGCTGGGAATATGGGAGAAGAAAAACAGAGAAGACTTTGCCTCGTTTCTAGTGAGAAATGCTGAGGAACTCCAATTTCTAGGAAGTTCTTGCACACATCTTCCCAACCACAGCCACCCAGCTAAGCAAGGTGCTGAATGTGAACTCTTGCTGTCCCTTTATCACTTTATTTCCCCTCACTCTCTCACTGGCTGGGGCTATGAACCTCAGGGCCTCTACACTGAAGCACAGGTTGTCCCTTCTTGGTAACAATCCTTTTCCTCCCCTTCCTTGTACTCTGTTCAATCCTAAATTTTTCATGTTGAATTACTTCTCCCTTTTTCAAGAGACCTGCATATTCCTGATCAGGTACCCTCTCTCTCATGAGCTGTCTTGCCTGGATAATACTCTGGATGAGGGAATTCTCATCTTTAAGTTTCAAGAGACGATTCATTTTGGTTTTGCTCCATGTGGAGTTATCCATTCCACTGCGGTGTTAAAGATCAGGCTGGGTTTTCCCTGCTAGAATGACATGCTCTCATGTAGCTTTAGGCAGTGGAAAGACATTCTGCATCTATTATACAATTTCTTCATTCCAGAACCAGAGCAAAACTGTAAGTCAGACACATTTCTCACAGCACGGTTTGCCTAAACATCTCCCTAAGCCTTAGTCAGATCAATGGGTTTTATTCCTGCTATAATATGACTTTCTTAGGGAGATATCCTGCTTCACATGGAAGTGTGCAACAGGGTCCAAGTCTTTCTAGAGAGCCTCGGTAGCTAGCACATACTAGGGTGAAGAAGTTAAGAGAGATCACCACGTTATTTACTTTTTAAACAGTTTTTTCCTCACCAGAACATAAGGGTACACTTCTTTCCCTAAGAAACAAGGAATTCTTGAGCATTGTTCATGCAGCATGAACATGACTTAAAGTCATGAACTAGACTTAAAGGATGCTTTTCTATCTAATTCCCCTCACTCCTACTTGGCCCCAGCATTTCCCAAGAGGAAGGGCCGGCAGAAAATTCTGGCTGCTTCCTTGAGTTTGATTTAATTTCAGAAGTCCAGACAGCAAAAACCTGAATCAACCATAGTTCTAGTATCCTCACCTTTCCTGTTTCCTAACAAGATAACCCATGTGCTGGACACCCCTGCGATCCAGCATGCAGAAGGTCAGGCAGTGCTGGAGGGCAAAAGCAAAGTGGAACATAGTATTTCCTGAATGGAGCACACTTCTCCATCATGTAGTAAGCATACACTCTTCTAGATGGAGTTATTTTATCTTCAGCTGTTGAAGCCACACTGTTAGACCAGAAGGATGTAACCCATATGTGCAGTGAGCCAAGGACATCTGGGATGTAACTGCAGGACACAATGACAGCTTCACTCCCCGACTTTTGTCTTGGCTTGTTCACACAAAGGTCAAGCACAGAATTTGGCTCTTACATATTATATTTAGTTACTATCTTTTCATCATCATACAGTGGGAAAATTCTTCCCACTCCTCCTACCTCTTTGTCTTCTTCCTGCAGCCTCTGCTCTCTGCCTTGCTCCTATTTCTTCCCTGTGACTGTACATTCTTTCTGCTTCTCCCCATTTTTCCTTCCCTGAAGCACTCCCAATAGCTAAACTTCCTTAAGTTTTCAATTTTCACCTTCTTCTTTGTTCTGTCCTTTTAAAGGCTAGAAGAGTTAACACTGATATTTTTGTGTGTGTGTGTGTGTGTGTGTGTCACCGCTAGTGTTCAGAGTGAACATCTGCTACATAATGGTGGGATGAGGCCAGTTTCTGTATTATCAGTTCAGGCTGCCTGCAGATTCAGATTTATGTCATTGCACAGGGTCACACACCTAAGGCTTTCTTTACCACCATGAGGAACTGAAGTTTACTTTAAAAATAGATAAAACATAGTTCTGCAGATCCTTAGTATACGGTCTACTGTGCTACAACAGTACTGGGCCAAGAATTTGATCATACTACTGGAAACTATTAGCCACCTTCTGACCATCTGAAAATTCTCCTGTTAATGGCTAAGTTTAAAGTAGCTCTCAACTTTGTTCTGGGACTCTCTGAAGTTGGAGGTTTCTAAAGCATACCTGAAGGGTTTGAAAATCAGGTATCTTCTAGAGCGTGTCCCTATTCTGGGAGATTTTGGAGCTGGAGAAAATCGGGAAGATCTACTGATGATGCAGTTTTTGATGGAGAAGTGGGCAAATGGCTCTTTGGGCGGGAGGTGGGCAGAAGCTGTTCAACTGGGTAATGCGCTGGGAGCACTGGAGTGGGAATGAGAGAGGGAGGAATAGGGTGGGTGGGGGAGTTGCTGCTCTGTCTGAATGGAGCTTATTTCTTGCTGTAATCAGAGGGATGGTCTCCCTCAGCCTCCTGGTACTGAGAGGCACTTCACCTTCCTGTCCCTGCTGAAGCAAGGTGCTCAACAGTAGAAACCACTTACCTGATAACTGCTGCACTGAAGGCTGGTCATGTGTGCTTAACAACTGTGCCTGAATGGTTTCTACTACCCTCTTAAAACGACGGCTTGGACCTGTGAGGAGAGAAGAGGCACAAATGGCTGTGAAAGGAGTGGGAGCCAAATCCTCACACAGCCCAGGCTGGAGGGGAAGGACCACAAGCATCTTCCCTTCAGTCTTGTCCCCAAAAGTGCATCGACAGTGTATCTGCCCTACAGCCAAAGGCATGGCTTTGAGGAACTATTATGCATCCCCCATGTTAATAGGGACTGTGGTGTGCTGGACTTAACAGGAGGAAGGATGGCTTCTGGGCTCCTTTTGTAAAGACAAAAAAGGTGTGTGTGTGGGGTTTGTTTGTTTGTTTAAAACCTGTGGTGGGCACGTAGCCACCCAGAAGAAAAGGGTGATTGCATGTTTCTGTCAGAGGGAAGAAATCAATGGCTTCAAAGTGCCCAGCTGAGACACTGAGACTTCTGAGTGAAACAATGAGACAGTACAGGGAGATGCTTCAAATGTGATGCAGAGAGCAGCCATTTTAGCACTAATCATGGTGGTGGCAGCTTCACCTCTTTGGGAATCCATTTCCCTCCCAGCACTTCCATTACTACCGACACCATTTTTGTTCCTGATGTCCTCCTTGCCCCATCTGAATTTTGCCCTGAGGTCAAGACAGTTACATTCTTTCCCCTGGCAGAGCTCTCTTGGCTGGCCTCTATATCAGCAAGGACAAAACCATCTTGTACCCATTTTACAGCTTTGCCATGGTTACCTGATAAGAGTGTGAAAGTGACAGAATAGATCCCATTCTCCTTCTGTGCCTCTCCCCCTTCTGTGTATGTTATGTCCACCTGGAACTTCACTGGCTTCTGGAAGACAGCAGGACCTCCTGTGGACTTGTATTCTGCACGGAAACTTGTCTGTGAGATGACACTGTGACTGAGGCTTGGAATCTGAAACAGGGCAGTAGAAGGCAATAGTAGAACCGGAGCACAAAGAGAACAAAATTGCAAAATTTGATTTAGAACAATACACATTTCCAGAGTGGGTAAGATTTGCTGGATTTGTTTCTGCACTTGAATGTACAGTGTTCTGAAATCAGTAAGAGTGTAGGTTGCTTGGCACCACAGAAGAATGCACTGCTCCTTACAGGACCGACCTAAATCTAAAGGTTGAACATTGGTGGAATACCCAGCACGCTTATAAATTTATACGTGTTGCACAACTTCATACACTCAGTCTTTCTTTTCCTACTCATCTACTAGTTCTGAGAAATGCTTTTTGCTGAGTGAAAACTGATATTAAGGGAAGGGGCATAAAAGTCAGTGGGATGTAAGACCGGATATAAAAAAAAACACCTGAGTAGCCTGGTCTGATCTCACAGCTGATCCTGTTTTGAGCAGGAGACTTCCTCTAGTCCTTTCCAACCTCAACTGTTTGGTGATTCTGTGATATCAAACAGACATCAGGACATGGAGTGTACACTTAGACAAGTGCCTGGGATATCCACAGGGAAAGTGTGCCTGCAAATAACTTATGCAAACCACAACTCCCATCAATATGTAAAAGAACTCTGAGAAGCTTTCTGGTATCATCCAATATGTGTACCTTCAGGCCCGTGGTAGAATTTCATAACTGCCTAATTTTCAAGCAGTAACCTTGCCAAAAAGTTTAACATACCTTTCCAGAATTTAACATACTTGTATTCTGTTTATTGCTTCATAATGGACCAGATATAAAAAAACCCAAACCAAATCACTTGGAAATCTCGCCTCTAGTTTAGGAGGAAAAATGAAGATGGGTCCTTTGAGAAGCTGACGTTAAGGACTTACTTAGTAGGCTGTGATAATGCATTTAAGTTTGAAGTTGGCTGTAAGAGATGATTCATAGAGTTTGCACAGAAATCACTACATCACACCTCAACCCACACATGTGGGGTACACACAGGACCACCAATAGAGACAGTAGTGCACACTACAGCACAATAAAAACCAGCAGCACAGCTAGATGCATGAAATGGATATAGTAACATGGCTGCTTCCAACCAATCTCAGCTGGATACCAGTGTCTGATGCATGCTACTATACTGCACTTGCATGCCTGTACAGTTGTGGCTGGTTTTTGGAAGAAATTCATTGCAGCATCATAGAGACTAAAAAGGAGTGCAGTATTTTGTGGAAAACAATATCAATTCAACAAATAACACAGGGAATTAAGTTTCCTTCTTTTAATTCTATTGAAAAAAAGTCTAATTATGTTGTCAACTACCTTGAACTGAAAAAATCTCTCAGATTAACTTTACTGTACTTTTTCTTCATTGGTCCTTTCAGACAGTGAGAATAAGGACTTTCTATAGGAAAAAAATTACAATTTCCCTCCGCTTTCTTAGATTGTAAATAAATGGCATCTGCAACAACTGATACTCTGGTCACCAAAAGAAATTTCCCTTCTTTCCTCCATACAGCACTGAAAAGGAGATTTAAAGTAACGAATGCAGATGTGAGCCAAGATTTTTGTCTGACTGAGGTGGTGGAGGGCATTCCCAGCAGAGGGGACCCAATCTGATGCCCAGACAGTGACTGTAATGTTAGTCTGACAAAGCAGCAAATCAGCACCAGCAGTGTGCTCTAACTGCAGTGATATTCCAAGCACTGACAACCTGGAGACCCTGCCAGGAAGGCTGAAATCTTTTCTCACCTTAGAGATCATTATCTACAGTTAGAAATTCAGACAGTGTCCAGTGGAAGCCGGAATCAACATAAATTACATCCACAGAGGATGCATTTGAAGGTGTAGACACCGTGCCCAGTAACGTGTGGCTCAGGGAGGCCTGGAACTGAGCAGTGAGCAATGACTCCGAGAGGCAGCTGGGGTGACTTACCGAGAGGAAAGCGTGGACAATATCAGCCTTAATGGAGCTTAGTGGTTTGTCCTTAATGACCACAAAAATCTGTTCTTCTTTCTCCAAGTTGATGAAGTTACCGAACCAGGATTTTTTGGCAAGCCTGACATGGTGAAAAGAAAAAGATGGTTTAGAATATTGAGTACTATTTCTTACGTAACCCCAGCTAGAAAAAATACTAAAAAACATACAAGGAGGTTTTAATAACACTCCAGATGTGATACTACTACTAATAGTAAGTGGAAAACAGTGTCAGAGAACACCCAGAACAACATTTCACTTTGTGAAAACTATTAAAATGATGGACCACACAGTGTTATTCTGGCAGCATGACAATGAAAAATCAGGAGTCATGGTAACTTTTTTGACTGAGCCAATATACCAATGAATACTGCATACATAAAGTGCATATAAACCAGGGGACACATTTGTGGTTTGTCTCCAGGGATATCTCCGTTTCTTGTGACATTATGCAGATGCTGGTGATACAGGATTTAACTTTCTTCCCACCCAATTTCAACCCCTTTGGTGTTCTAAGACTTAGAAAGTTTCCTTTTCTGAAGGTGTCCTGTTGGGCTGACAGCACAATCACAGGATCTTGCTTTTTAAAGCAAGCTGTAGGTTTCACTGGATCTCCAATGGGCCAGGACAAAGACTGTCCCGTTCACTATCCCATTCAGGGTGTCTAATGAGTGAACTCTGGCTATCCTATAAAGGAATCAATTTTCAGTACTGAGAGAGAAGATATCAACACCACACAAAACACAGTTCAGGCTTTCCACTGACAGCAGTCCAACTTCCCAGTTCCTTTCAGCATCAGATGGTGGTTTGATCATTAAATTGCTCTGTTTTTTCAAGCTGACATATCATCAAATGTGTGATTTTGCTTATTGTTTCACCACCTCAATGCATTTTGTTGACATTCCCATTTTTAGTTAAACAGGCCAAAGGAAAAATGCCGGGACATGGAAGTTATTGGGGGACACACTACCCAGAACTTGAAGGTAGCACCTCTGACAGGTGTGGTTTTGAGGGAAGGGAAGATGCTGTCAGCCGTGAGATACAGCCGAGGAATTGCTGGACCAACCTGGACCCAGGGAAAATTCCACTGAAATCAGCCATATTCTAGTAGGGAAGAATTTAGCATGAAAATGTCAGAAATGAAAAGACCTGCCACCAAGAGAGTGCTATTATTTTCCTCCACAGGATACTTTATAATGCCACGACAAGTCCAGTTTACAGGATGGCAAGCAATAGGCTTTCAGTTGTTTTGGCGGACATTCACCGCTCAGTAGAAGACGACAACCTCTCCAGACAAGGAGAGCCATCTGCAGAAAGGATTACTGTACAGCAGCTTTCCAGCAAAGCCATAAACTGCGGAGAGTTATTAGTAGATTCACTTTCCGTGGCAAAGACTCAGACTGAGGCAGAATGAGGACGGGTAGAGACTAGGAGAGAGAGGAGCAAACTAGGAAACTAATCTGAACTCTAGAGTTTCAGGGTAAAGAACAAAGCTTGACCTCAGCAGTGTCCACCAATTTGCACTCATTCCCTGTTCCAGAGTGCTCCATGAATCACCCAACTGTCGTCTCACTGGCCATTTAATGCACACAGCAGAAAGAACACAACTGGAAGACCGCTCAGCTGTGCAAATAATCATTTGCTTCTACTTACTGCGGGCAACCAAAAATAAGAGTGCAGAAAGATTCACTTGCAATTTGGTAAACCAGTGCCCCCCACTCAATTAAAGTGGGCTGGAAAACTGTCACTCCCTCAAATATTCATAGGCAGCTGTAACTAAACTAGTGAGGCAGAGATTAGCATAGGGAGCAGTAAAGAAAGGGCCTCTCATTTAAATGGGTCGTTAAGGAGCCAGGGTTAGAGTGTGAAAGGAAATTACATACTAATTAGCTCATGTGTCTCGCACACACCATAACAACTCTGCGAGCCCCTGGAGAGCTGGGGCAATAGCTCCCTGCGTGTAAAGGGTCTACGCTCATTAGTAAATTAGCACCTGGTTATCCATCTAAAACGGCTGGTTGTCTCAGGCTCCTACGTATCATAATCTGAACCGGCGTTGGCTATATGGACTCCAGGGGCCCAGGGTACGTCACGCATGGAAGCTGGGCCTGGGAAAAGTGTGCATATTTAATTGCAGATCTGCCGTGTTAAAATACGGCTTTTCATTTTTGTATTATCATTAATGGTTTTGTTGGTCCTTCATTTATAGGTCTCTTAACAAGCACAGGTTGAAAGGGCCCTAGCACACAGGGAGGTTTTCTCCTGTTCGGCTTGGAAGCTTGGTCTTGAGTCTCCACAGTCCAGCTGGGCTCTTTTATTTGGCCAGGTTATCGCCAGTAATATGACTCTGGAAGATTCACTGGTAGCCAGGGCTACGCTCCAGCTTGTAAATCAGTGGAATTCACTGAATTATTTTGCTGCTGTCACATAAGATGGAATATATGCCAGTGGCCTTTCCTGTTTCTGGAAAGAACAGAATCAAGACATAGCACACATGTGCTGGCTTTTCTGCCCTAAATCAGCAGAACTAGCTGTGCTCATACACCCGGGCAGTAGGCCCACTGAAGAGAGGGGGCAGCTTTGGAGTAAAATGACACACTAAAGGTTACCCTCCTCTCAGAAACTATTAAGTGCTTCTAACTTGAGATAAGATAGGTATGAATCAAGGATCCTCAGCACCCTGAATGAGGTGCTCTAGCATCTCACAAGATCAGGCTGTAAGCAGTAAAAAATTTACTTAAAATTAACAATCTTTTCTTGTCATGGCAAACCACCTAAGGGGGAGGGAGATAAGAGGTACGTGTGGGAGGCTGCGTATGTAGATTACTCTAGGGAATCTAATCAGGTGTCCGGCTGATGAAAAAGCAAATAGATTAGCATGAAAATGGAGGCTGGTGCTTTATTACTTCACACTGAATTGCTCACTGCTGTAAGGTGGCCTCTTCCTACTTTTGGAGTGTCTGACTGCATCGCCTTCTGGAGAGCCTCACTATTTGTCCCTGAGTGCATGGATCTGTAACCTCCAGAGGTTTACCTGCTTGGCATAAATAACAGCATTTCTACTCAAGCAAATGGAGCTTTGCAGGTTTAAAGCAGCTGGAGCTATGTCTCTTTAAATGTCATCCCTAACACCTTTTCTAGGACTTTTTCATATGAGAAAGAATATCATTACCCAGACATGTCAAAGTGTATTACCTAATCATCAGGTTTGTTAAATGAATAGCAGTCATTGCTGTAACAGAGCAAGGACATGTATTTATTGCTCAACCCGTGAGGTCAATACAGCTCGTGATAAGGATATCTTATTTCTTACAGAAAGGAAGAAAATACTAGAAAAAAATAAGACATGTGGAAGTGGGCACTGAGCAACAAGACATCTATCGTTAAAATATAATCCAGTTCATTATTTTTTATGACTTTTATTATGTTTACTGCAGGGTGCAGCCCAATTGAACTCATTAATTTGGCAATTATACAGAAAAAGAAAAAAGGGCCTTAGGCTTTGACTTGCATCCAAACTGCCTCAAATGACAGGCACTACTTCTCCATACCAGCTTTTAAAGAGTGAGTGGGAAGCAGAGAAGGCAATAAATTACAGAAAAACTTCCACCAACATATATGCATGAAGAGGAGAGGAGAAATTTAATTCTGAAGGTTTTCTGCTTGAATGGCCTTAAAAACATTTGAGATGAGAGTATCATATATTTCTTTGATAAGGATGCGTTCATTTTATTAAATTCTCTCATGCCTCTCTATTCGTAAATGCTCCAAAGTGTTGAAAACACAATTTATTCCATTTTTCCTCCTGCATTTCTTTTACTAACCTTTACTATTCCCTACTTCTCCCTCTCCTGAAGTCTTTATCTTTCTCCATTCTGCAGCATCAGAGTGCCCATCTTACACCAAGTAAATGCCAGGTCTGGGGAAAGTTATTAAGGCAATACCATTGTCACCAATTACAAAACTTTGGGCCCCAAATTTCCTTCTATGACTCATGAATATTTCACACAAGTATCTTGACAAGAGGCCAAATTGCCTTGGTTGGCAGGGTAAGTCTATGGGCATTGGGTGCACAAACACAAGCTGTGAAAATAAAAAGTAATAATTTGGCATCTGTTGCATATATCAGGAAGTGTTTGGAGCAGCACTCTCTGGCAGGGACTTCCAATCCTGCCATGCAGTGACGCACATTTGTGCAGTGAAATGGTTGAAATGTACACTGACTTTTAGGAATGAGTCTGGTGAATATGAAACAGCTTCTACATGTCCCGGTGCTGCTGCCTAGAATTAACACTGCGTTTACTATCGCAGCCAAAGATTCTTCTGAATTATCTTAGCAGAAGCTTCTGCATGTCATCCTGAGGAGGCAAACTCTCCTGTACTAAGAGGAAGATTTTTTAGTGCATAGTTAGTGCCAGTACAAGCCACTGATTATCCTCTCCACTCCACAAGAGTGATCTGCTTGACAACCACATGAAAGAAGAGAGAAGGAGCGTGTTACAAACCTAGTAAATTCAGCAAGCCACGAGAAAATGAGGTGGTTACTGGGAGACTGTTTCATCACATGTTGACTCCAGTTATTACTGAGGTACAGATTTTATGCGGGGTCCTCAGCAGAAGAACCATTTCACACCTCTATCCCACATACAGGATAACAGGTTACAGTTAGATACTGATCCAGAATATGTTACCCCATGACATTCAGGCAAGGAAATGACATTGGTACGCAGGGGAAAAAAAGTAGTATACTGGCAAATTACTCACTCGGGGGATGATTCCGGGGTTAAATTAGACATCTCCTCTGGTGTAGGTACTGCCCATGCACACACAGCCACAGAGAGGGAGGGAGAAAAGAAATTGATGATTCAGTACACCTTCCATTATCTGCTTGTATATCACCAAAACAATTCCAGCATTACGCCCTCTTGCATTTGCACACTGCTTCTGCAGACTAGTTCTGTCATGACACTTGAACACTTGTCATATGTCTCTAGGCCACTGTAACTAATCAAGTGCTGCATTTCAAGGCTCACCCTACTCTTCCTTAAATTATTATGTAATCTTGCACTGGCTTCAATGCTTTCTGGTTCACACTTAAACACCATGCCAGTTTGGTTGCTCCAAAATTGCTTCAAAGCCCAGTTGGATGCAGCTCAGTCACTGCTGTAACTCTCTGCAGCTCTCTGACCATCTCAGGGACAATGTCCCTGACCATCACAATTCAAAAATCTAACCCTTTCATGGCTGTAATCCTCCTTTCCCGTGGGATCACATCCCAGTACCCTGTTAAGCCACTGGGTGTTAGGATAGCTGCTGCTGACATCTGAGGATGATGCATCTGACTTTGCCTGAATGCAAAAAGCCACCTGGAGCTTGAAGAAGAACATTTTGCACATCTCAACACTCTAGAGACTCTGAAAACTGAAACCGGCCAGCAGATATGAAACCACTGATTGTATTAAGGAGATTTCTACACCAATTAGCAGAGAATGTGAAAAAAACATTAACCAGTTCAAAGCTGTGCTTCAGGACAATTTCAGCCTATTGCCACTGGCTATCTTCTTTTCAGCAGAAAGCGAAGCCTGGGGCTATGGAAAGGCAGCCAAGTACAGCCATAGGGGAAATGGCAGAGTTCTAGATTTGCTGAGAAAACGAGCAGAGAAGCTGAAGATAAAATTGTCTTGTCTAAGAGCCACAACAGGGAAAGTAAGAGCTGTATGACTAGAGTGTGAACAGGGCTCAGGAGATGCTGTTGGAGCAGGTGCAGTGGCATGACAGAGCCTGTGCACATGCCCTGGGTTAGGGCTAGCTGATGCCACAACTCCCATTTTCAATACCAATATTCAGTCCTCAGTACAGGAAATTTGCAGAGCCACAGAGAGGTATCAACTTGCTCCCTAATGTTTGCCTAAACCAGAACTACCTTATCCGTCTGGATGAGTACTCACCTTGCAATTTCCTGCGATGGAAGCGAGGAGACCCCAGGAAACTATTCTTGATTGAGTTGAGCCGTGTCCTCCATGGCATTCCTCCAATGCTGGGGCTGGATGGTGGTGTTGGGTTGGGTGTGCCTGCTGGGCTCTCCTTTGGCGTATGGACAGGTGTCCCCTTGGGGGTAGGGAGGGGACTTCCCCTTGGAGAGGGGTGAGGGGTGACCTGTATGATGGGGATAGATTTGGTGCTTGGGTCAGTACTAGAAGGGAGCAATCTAACAGGAGACATAGGGTTGGTCTGCACTTTAGGAACAGCCAGCTGTGGGTTAAAGCCGGCAGCAGGCAAGCGGCCCTGAGCATTCTGCACAGGGGTGTTCTGAGAAGAGGGGGCGCTGGTATTGCTGGTAGGGAGTGGGTTGGATTTAGTAGACTGGAGTGGTTTTTCGGCCAATTTGCTCTTGGATGGCAAAGTCTGCGTCTTTGGATTGGGCTGAAGTGCTGGCTTTGGTTGTAGTACATGTCCAGGCCTGGAGGCGTTCCTACAAGCATCAGGGTCCAAGGAGACTTGGGGTCGGGGAGAGAAAGGGAGGTCGGAGGTCTGAGGGGGGATGAAGAACTTTCTGATAGGCTACGAGACAGACGCAGAGTGTCCATGCACATCAAAAACAGTGAAATACGCATAGAGCGGGCGAGCAGAGAAAGGAAAGTCAGAATAAAATCCATCCGAGTCACAAAGATGCACCATGTCACAAGGAGACACAAGAGATGGAGGTGAAGGGGTAGTGGGGGGGAGGGATTTTGCAAAGAAACAAAAACGAACAAACAAACAAAAAACAAAAAAAAGACATGCAGTTAGCTGGGAACACAGCATAATCAACAACAGCAGCAGCGGCAGCAGCAAGAACAACAGTGTCATAACAGGCTTCATCATATTAACCAACCACGTGTCAGCAAAGGAAAACAACAGAAAGAAAAGTAAAACAAAGGAAAAGTAAAAAAAAATAAAAAGAAAAAAAAAAGAAAGAAAGTAACCAAGAAAAAAGAAGAGAGAAATGCCATCTCTCTGGGATTGTTCTGATTGCCCTGCAGTGAGAGAAGCACGATGCTGTAGGGAGGTGAGGAAGGGGAAGAAGAACCACTCAAGCCACAGACAAATTGAGATGTGCCAAGAATGGGACCACCTCTTTCAGCTCCAAGTGCCCATATGCAAACCCAGCAGAGAGATGAAACTCAAAACAGGTGTGTGATACACACGGAGTGGTAGGCGATACACACAGGTTACTGCACACACCAGTCAGAACCTCTTTCCTTCCTCTTTACCCCTGACTCTGGATAATGCACACCCCGGCTGCAGCCACCCATTGCAGAAAGAGGGGAACAGAGAGAGTGATACCATGTGGGCATCCGCTCTCCTCCCCTGGCCTGGAAGGTTAAACCACTCAGCATTCGCTTGGAGGCTCCAGAGCACACACCACCACGAGAAAAATATGAACTCGGGTTGGTGTTAGATTTGTCATCAGCTACAACAAAAACTTCAGAGGCCTGGCAAATTTGTTTATCGGGGAAGAGATGATACTTCCCATCAGACTTTATGCTTCTCCTGCAACATCCCTCATCGAAAAAGTCACAGCAATATTTGCCATTAAGTCTCAGTTCTATGGAAGGGGTGGGGGTGTTTTATAAGACACAGTTTAAAAAGAAAAAGACAACCAAAGTTCATAATCCAACACCGAGTTATAAAAATGGGATTATGATTTTTCCCCCCC